ACATACAATTTAATCAAATACTATATTCAGAATTTAGTTTGCTCATTTTCTTTCATAACACAATAAGTGCATGCCTGCATGGCGCTAGCAATGGCAGTGCCATAGACTGAATTCACAAGAAATATACATGCTGATAAATTTTGGGTGAAAAAAGGGGTTAAATGATGTTGTTTTAAAAGTTTTTGATTATTTAAAAATGTTTGATGCTCACCCTGGCCTTCTTGATGCATTCTGGCCTTTTCAGACTGCCTGTGAGATGGTCGTAGAGAAGTTCACAGAGGTGTGGTCTCAGCTAGCAGCTTTTTAGTAAATTCCTCTCAGGGAATTTTCTCCAGAGATGGAGAAAACATATTTCTCTCTCGCTTTAGGCTCCTCCCCCAGACAGCAACATGGTGTCGGCCTAGATACGGCCCACATCTAGTACATGTGGAATCCACATTTACCGGATGTGAGCCATATCTGGGCCGACACTGTCGCTTTCTCGGCCCCCTCCAGCCTATGTTGATGTTGGGGTTGGCTTTCATGAACCTGCAGGGTTTTTCCTATGGTGAAGTTTAGGAACAGATAGAGATATTCTCAGCTCTGTTGCCCTTTTCATTCTCTTCAGTCATACTTGAAGATTAGAGCAAATACAGGTTATGTTCGCTCGCTTCTCTAGGAGAACCTTGCTTAACACTGGTTCCTGCTTGTGCAGGGGCTATGTAAGGTCTACTTTCTGCCTTAATAAATACGGAGAAAGGAGTGTATGCTTCATTCATATTCGCATATGAAGGGTTGTTAGACAGTTGAAAGAAGATGGTCTATTTCGCTTCTCGCTCCTCACTTCATCGGCTGTTGTCTCCCCAGTGGGCGAATTCGGAAGTAGTAGCTATATACTCTTTCTGTGTTTGTAGTTGTGCACTGGCTCGCATGGGTGAGGAAATATTGGCAATTCTGCTTCTCGCAACTCATTTCATCACATGCCACTTCTCCTTTATAAATACAGAGATGGAAGTGTATGCTCCTCTCATGTTCGCATATGTAGGGTTCCCAGACATACCTTAAAGAAGATGGGCTATTCCGCTTCTGGTGTCCCACTTCATCAGCTGTTGTCTCTCCAGTGTTGCGAATTCGGAAGTAGTACCAATATGCTATTTCTGTGTTCATAGTTTTGCTACTGCAAAACTACGAACACAGAAATAGCATATTGGTACTACTTCCGAATTGCCAACCATTGGCATCGGTGAGGAAAGATTGGCAACACTGCTTCTCGCATCTCACTTCCTCACATGCCACTTCTCTATTATAAATACTGAGATAGAAGCGCATGCTCCTTTCATGTTGGCATAGGTAGGGTTGCCAGACGTAGCTGAATGAAGATGGGTTATTCCACTTCTCGTGTCTCACTTCATCGGCTATTGTCTCCTCAGTGGGCGAATTCGGAAGTAGTAGCTATATACTCTTTCCGTGTTTGTAGTTGTGCAAAGGCTGGCATCGGTAAGGAAAGATAGGCAATTCTGCTTCACGTGTCCTACTTCTTAAAATGATGCTTCTCCTTAATAAATATGTGGAGATGGAAGGGTATGCAGCTTGCATATTTGCAATAGGGGTTGCTTGGCATAGCTGAAAGAAGGTGGGCTATTTCGCTTCTGGCATCCTACTTCATGAACTGTCGCCCCTCCAGAGTGGACATAGTGGAGTACTGTGAGGAGTATGAGGAGTATGAAGTAAAAGTGGCATTACGCTGTGGTGGCCTACTCTCTGTCCTTATTGCTGGAACAATGGGAATAGGTAACCATTGGCCGATGAGGCTAAAGGTTAGAGCTTGGCCCTCCCCAATCATTATTGGGTGAAAAAGGGGGGTTTATAGGCTCCCGTGGGTATGGGTTGCTCTTTGAGGTTCGACCACGGGGTGAAGGTCTCACGGCAGGCTTGAGTAACTGGTACTCGGAGCGTGCCCTGTTGCCATGCCCATCTCGGGACTCGATCGTGAAGCCAGTGGTGAAGCGTTCTCATATGAAGCAGTCCGAGCGGCGTGGCTGCCGCCGCTAGGAGCCTCTGAAATAACTTCAGTGAACCGCACTCTTGCCCTCAAATTGACTCAGGCAATTCAGCAGTGCCCATCAAAAGATAACACCTGTCTACTGCACCCAGAAATACATGGGCGAGACATCTTTAAAAAGACATGCCACGTGCTGCTCTTTTAGAGAGGAGAAAAAAACTCAGCAGTGTGTTGAAGCGCCTAGGGAGAAACACACATACTGTTGGCAGATCACGGCACAGACCAGCAGCAGGTGATGTGATCTCGCTGGAACACGCCGTAACACCAACAGCACTGGAGAGTCACTGGAGGGGTGAAGAATACTCTTGGCTCTGAAGCAAAAACATAATGCGAGATTGCCGCACAGCTTCTTTTATACCCACGCGGCGGGGTGGAGTTGCGCTATGCAAATTCCGGTAACGCTTCCTTTTACAGTCCTGTTACCCATGTACTTACTATGTACTTATTATAGTAATTATAATTACTGGGTAATAACTAGGTACTAACCCTGAACCTACCCCTAAACCTACCCCTAACCCATGTACTTACCTTATATTAGCCAGTACTTTCTAGGTAAGTACACTGTAAGTACACGTAAGTACTGTACTGTAAAAGGAAGCGTTACCCAAATTCCGCAGACCCATGGCATTGTTTTGCCATTGGCTCGTTTTGTAGAACTCGAAGGTGATAGGCTTCTAAGCAAGACCCACATTTCGTCAGTCACTGACGTAACTGGGAGTGACTGAACGAAAGGGAACCAGGGTTATATTCATAACCCATATATTCATAACCCTAAGCCTTCACCCAGGTTCAGGAAGCTGTCCTCCGTAAAATGCACTACACAAGGTAACTTTTGGGTTGTACTGCTCAGGTTATAAATATATCTTAACCACTGATTCCTAGTTTTATCTGTTTTTGGTTGGCCAACAAAAGTGGTTTTGCTTTCGCATCCAAACAAACAGTGTTTCCACAACATGAAGACAACACCTTCTTTCTTTGCGGAAGTATTATCTGGACTTGGATCAAGGTGTTTTAGGCAGGTCAGAATCAGTGTTGTCTTTTAGATAGAATAAATCCCTTTTTGGGTCACTATGAGCTTTGAAACTTTGCAGATCTTATACATCCACAAACAGATACAATACACTCTAAAGGAAAAGGAAAACAATAAAGCTTCTAGCCGCTATGTGCATAAATGTTTATGAACGCCATTTAATGTTGTTGTAATGATAATTGTTCTGTTTGAAGTCACCATTATTGTGATTAGAGTAATCGAAAAGTAAAAAAATGACTTCTATGCATCATTTGTTGATTGGATTTTAAGATAAGGATGTGGCACTAAAATGTGTATGCAGATAAGCATTTTACAAGAAGATCCAGTTATGACGTTTTGATTAAACAAAGACAAAACATTGTAAAAAAAAAAATTAAACATGCACAGATTGATTGTTCACGATAAGATTTATATCATGCATGAAAATGAAAGGTGAATTTTCATTTAAAACTCTGGTAACACTTTAGAATACGGTTCCTTCGTTAATGAATCCAACCCTAACCCTAACACAAGAACCAATGAGTAACACAATATTAACAATCTAGTAACTACTATTAACTAAAAAGAAACTCTGATTAACGAACTAGTAAGTAATAGCGCACAGATGAAAGTGGTAGTTCACTATTAACTAATCAATAAATACTATTTTTTAATGCTTCCCAGAGAACTACTGAAAAAGTTTCATAATTCATGCAAAACTAATCAATAACCAATGCAGTTTTACACTTTGCTTTTCATTAGTAACTACTGTAAGAATCATGGTAACAAACTAGTAATGACACAAGTGTTACTACATGATCTAGTCATGATTTGTGCAACCAAACACAAAAGTCATTTCAAGCATTTGAGATTTTTGGTGAACTTTTAGAAAATTTCTTTAGAAGTATGTAGTAACACTTTAGTCATTACTAACTAGTTCCCATGATCTTCACTTTAGAATACGGATCCAAATAATTAGTAATTCCCATAGAAGTATGAAGTAACACTTGTGTCATTACTAGTTTGTTACCATGATTCTTACAGTAGTTACTAATGAAAAGCCAATAAAGTGTAGAATCTTCTAATCACTCACAAGATATGCACACACACATATGAGCTAGGAGACATACATAAAAACATATTTTTTTAAGAGGTAGGTTAAGTCTGCTATGCTCTTACATATTGATGATGTAAACAACCTTGTGTATTTGTTTACAGTAGCAGTTAAAATGTTAATGTAGTGCTAGTCATTTGTCCTGCATTGGTTATTGATTAGTTTTTGCATGAATTATGAAAATTTTCAGTAGTTGTCTGGGAAGCATTAAAAAAAATAGTAGTTATTGATTAGTTAATAGTGAAGTACCACTTTCATCTGTGCGCTATTACTTACTAATTCGTTAATCAGAGTTTATTTTTAGTTAATAGTAGTTACTAGATTGTTAATAAACTTTTTCAGTAGTTCTCTGGAAAGCATTAAAAAAATAGTAGTTATTGATTAGTTAATAGTGAACTACCACTTTCATCTGTGCACTATTACTTACTAGTTTGTTAATCAAAGTTTCTTGTTAGTTAATAATAGTTACTAGATTTTCAATATTGTGTTACTCATTGGTTCCTGTGTAGTTATTCATTAACGAAGTAACCGTATTGTAAAGTGTTACCAAAACTCTTTCAGAAATGTCATAAGTGTTGTGTATGGTAGTTTACTGGCAACTAGAGTTGCAGAAAAATCTATCTTACAATACATTTTTTGCATTGTAAATTAAACCATGAGACTTAAATCTCATTATTTAGCTTCATGTCGTTCCAAACCTATATGCTATTTTTTTCCCAGTTCCAGTAGATCACAAAAGTCTTGTACCGGTAAGTGTTTTATACAAGCACAGTTCAAAGTGATGATGTCTGTCATGCTCCAAAAAGGACAAAACCCCCAAAACTATTAAAATAAAAGTAGTCAAAACAGGACATTATCTGAAAAGGTTGTGTTTATTCTGAGAAACAGGTAAATTATACATTGAAGAGTTCTCTTCAAAAATATCGGTGTGTGTGTGTTTTAAACAATAAATTATTTAAAGTAAAATAACTAGCAGTGCAGGTACAACACACATACTGTAGTACTCAAACAGACAATAGATCCTGTCTGAATGATAACAAAAACAATACAACCATATTTGAACAAGTTGCACTAACCTGTTAGTTACTGAATTATTCGCTCTACCCATACTTTCATTTAGCATTACGGCTCACTTTTTGTATTTCAAATTCTGGGTGAAATATCATTCTGAAATCCAGTGAAAGAACAAAACAAAAAAAGCAGCACAACTGCCTAAGCTATCTGTTCAAGGGCCTTGTGATTTGTATCTGTAAATTGAACTGTTTTTATATTGCAGCTGGACTGTGAAGGCCAAAAGCTCATGGATTGACATTTGACGCTTGCTCAGTTTTAAAATCTGGTCTCTGAGGTGCCTCTCTTCAGACAGTTCTCCATAAATTCATCATGCTCAAAGCTCAAGTTATTGTGAGACCTGGAGATCATAAGAAGTTTCTCCTTTTTAGAGTAGTCCTTCTTCACGGCCACTGGGGGCACTAAAAGCCTGTCCATAGGGTCCTCTTTGTCCTCCAGTTTAGTGTATCCTTTACTATTACTGCGGTCCAATCTGGGCCAACTAGGGTGTTTCCTCTGTTCGGGCTGGACAGTCAGCATTGTGGGCGCTCTCTCTAAATCCAGAGATTTGGAATGGGCTGACAAAATGTGGAGGGAGCTATTGGAGCCGAAGTCTTTACGCGCAGCACCAGGTGACAGGAACCTACCGCTGGTGGACCCAGGAGACAGTGAGGAACGGGAAGATGTGGAGGTAGGGGATTCGGTGGCTGAGTTGCTCCGGAGCAGCAGGGCGCCCGAAGGCTTGAAAGCTTTGGCGACATAAGGAACAGGTACCGTTAACGACTCCAATGACGGAGGTCTGGAGTGGACCCTGCTCTGCTCTAAGTCCTCCGTGATGCTATCGATGTCAGGCTCATCAATGACGCAGTTGTTGAGTTTGATGACGGGCAGTGTGAAGGCGCTGATGGAAGAGGAAACGATGGAGCGCGTTTGGCATTTCTTGAGCGCACCACGCTTGTCCTCCCACCGACGACCACCCTCATCATGGAACCCAAAGATACATTCAGAACGGTCCTTGTAAGTAGGCGACAACAGGCCAAAGCCACCTCGGGCCTCACTCATTAGACCCTCGTCATCCTCAGCCGAGCTGGTCCTGTGGGAGAACCGGGCGTCACCATCCAGACCGGAGAAGGACATTAGAGTGTTTGCTGCGAGCCTTGAGGCAAACTGGCCATCCAGTCCGAAAGAACGGATCTCTGTGTCCGTGTAGGGACCCATGTAGGCCCCATTCGTACACTTCTGCTCCTTAATCCGCAGGCTGTGAATGTCTATGACGGTCGAGTACATGTCCTTCATGTGGATAATCTTTGTCTCACGATCCCTGTTCTCATGTAAGATGGCATTAGCACAGATGAAGATAAAAATCCCAATTCCCATAGTGAAAGGACCCAACATCTTCATCTTCTCGGAATGCAGGTGCTTCTCCAAGAATTGCGCAATGGAGCCCACCTGCTCTTGGCCAACCTGAGTATCGTTCCTGGACAACTTGCTTTCTGGTGCCTTCTGGGGGTCCTTATGAGGCCAGTATCCAAGAACAGCCATTGCAATGCCTGCCATGAGGATCAGCACTCCCAAAACCAGAAAGAATCCTGAGGCCGAATACAGTCTGATCTTCCCTCTCACTACCACGACATCAGCTCTAGGTTTACGCTTGGTGCATTTCTTCTCAGGAGCAGGGCCTGGGCTCTGGATTGGCAGATGATACTGAGAGCGGGTGGAGTCTTGTCTTTTCAATGCTGCGAGCCCCGTGATCACCCCACCCGTGGCAATCATTGCTGTGACAATGCAAGCCTGCAAATAAAGAAATAAACAATTGTTTAAATAAGCTGGAGGCACTCCCACTTGATTGAAAACAATCTTTGATATCTGTCTCAGTCCAGGTGTTCGGGAATTTGTTTGCTGAATGCTGGTTTAAGCACTGTTGGGGCTATTGTGAATCTTTTCAATTGTTTTTTAAATGCTACCCTTGTCTTGCTTTATACACAGAGCAAGCAAAACAAAGTCATGATAGCTGCATAATTATGAGGTACACAAGAAAAAGAGAACAATCATAGCATAATGGAGCTTTGTTTAAGAAGATCTCTCCATGTCTTGATCCCTCCATGTCTTGATCCCTCCACCATTGTAAATGCAAATGTTTGAAATCAATGATAAAAATAAATTCTCTGAAAGTTTGATTCTATAATTAAAACACTGAAGCATTAGTCAAGAATGACAAGAATGGCAATGTGATTTAGACAGCCAAGGGATGATCCAAGTCTGCTGACCAAAAAAAAAAATATTATTTTGTCAAATCTAAGAGATATTGTGTATCAATTTACTAACATGGCTAATCTCAATCTTAGTGCTAGGAAAGAGCAAGTAAACTGAAATTTTTAGTATCCATATATGACATGAACAAGGATGTTTAGCATTAAAACCCAAAACAATGTGTAATTTCACAAGCATACTGTAGGCTAAATTATTAGGTCAAAGAGAGACTGAATAATTGCTAAGAAAGATGGTGAATTACAGTTTTCAGACAGAAGTTTCCCATTGTAAATGTAACTGTCATTTGAATGGTTAAAGTGTTTTATATACATCCCTGAGGCTCATTGCTCTCCTCTCTGCAGGGTGCAAGTATAGTTTTTGTAAAAAAAATAAAAAATAAAATTTAAAGTCGGGAGGACTGTAAGAAGTGAAAACCTTAACTTAACAATAAATGAGAGAGAAGCGGTGCTCTGTATTGTCTTAAATTAAACATTTTATATTTCAGAGTCATTAAGACACTTTAAATCACAGTATTCATAAACGCATTGAAATGAATATTAAAACATATAAATGCTTAAATTAAATCACAATAAATAAATAAAACCTAACAATATGTATACAGATGCTCCAATTGTCACAGTCCAGTTGAAATAAAAGGTGAGGAAAGGATCTAAGTGCAGCAGTATAAAGTTTTTATTAAACAAAGCACTCAAAAACTGAACATAACCCTGACATATCCCCCCCATCAAGAAGGTGCATCCTCACACCTCAATAATAACACAAAGTCCAACAGAGGAGGGCGGGAAGGGGCGTAGGTGGGGGACGCAGGGCAGGAACAGAGGGCAAGAGGGGTCAAGGCGGAGATTAAGGTGGGAGGAGCCAGGGTGGAAATTACGGTGGGAGGAGCCAGGGTGGAGATTAAGGTAGGAGGAGCCAGGGTGGAGATTAGGGTGGGAGGAGCCAGGGTGGAGATTAAGGTGGGAGGAGCCAGGGTGGAGATTACGGTGGGAGGAGCCAGGGTGGAGATTACGGTGGGAGGAGCCAGGGTGGAGATTACAGTGGGAGGAGCCAGGGTGGAGATTAAGGTGGGAGGAGCCAGGGTGGAGATTATGGTGGGAGGAGCCAGGGTGGAGATTACAGTGGGAGGAGCCAGGGTGGAGATTAAGGTGGGAGGAGCCAGGGTGGAGATTACAGTGGGAGGAGCCAGGGTGGAGATTAAGGTGGGAGGAGCCAGGGTGGAGATTAGGGTGGGAGGAGCCAGGGTGGAGATTACAGTGGGAGGAGCCAGGGTGGAGATTAAGGTGGGAGGAGCCAGGGTGGAGATTACGGTGGGAGGAGCCAGGGTGGAGATTACAGTGGGAGGAGCCAGGGTGGAGATTAGGTGGGAGGAGCCAGGGTGGAGATTACAGTGGGAGGAGCCAAGGTGGAGATTAAGGTGGGAGGAGCCAGGGTGGAGATTACGGTGGGAGGAGCCAGGGTGGAGATTACAGTGGGAGGAGCCAGGGTGGAGATTAAGGTGGGAGGAGCCAGGGTGGAGATTAAGGTAGGAGGAGCCAGGTTGGAGATTACGGTGGGAGGAGCCAGGGTGGAGATTAAGGTGGGAGGAGCCAGGGTGGAGATTACGGTGGGAGGAGCCAGGGTGGAGATTACAGTGGGAGGAGCCAGGGTGAAGATTAAGGTGGGAGGAGCCAGGGTGGAGATTACAGTGGGAGGAGCCAGGGTGGAGATTAAGGTGGGAGGAGCCAGGGTGGAGATTACGGTGGGAGGAGCCAGGGTGGAGATTAAGGTGGGAGGAGCCAGGGTGGAGATTACGGTGGGAGGAGCCAGGGTGGAGATTAAGGTGGGAGGAGCCAGGGTGGAGATTAAAGTGGGAGGAGCCAGGCTGGAGGCTTGGCTGCTGGATTTAGGGAGATGAGATTAAAATTACAACCAAAAGCCACACAATGTGGCATCGTATCAGTATTTTATATTCCGAGTTGTGTTGTGGTAAAAATAGCAACAGGTAGCACCAGTAGCTCACCGAGTGCAACCATTTGATGTCATCGACATAGAATGCACTGCACACCTAAAATAGTGCCCACATTGTACAAAATATGTATAAAACAATGTGGATTTTTAAAATAACGTAAATCTTTGATGGGTTATCTACTTCATATTTCAGTAAGAGACATCATTTACATTACATGCTCTGTACATGGTACCATTAGGAGATATCATTAGGAAACATGGAGTTAGCTTTCACTGTTATGCCGATGATACTCAGCTGTATATTTCTTCAAAACCTAACGAAACTTACCAATTCACAAAATTAACGGAATGCATAGCTGATATAAAAAATTGGATGACCAGTAATTTCCTACTACTAAATTCTGAAAAAACAGAGATTCTAATTATTGAACAAAAAACTTCCACACGTAATAACCTAGAATACTGTCTAACACTTGATGGCTGCTCTGTCAAGTCTTCGTCGTCGGTTAGGAACCTGGGTGTGCTCTTTGATACCAATCTTTCATTTGAAAATCACGTGTCTAGTATCTGTAAAACCGCATTTTTCCATCTTAAAAATATGTCTAAATTACGCCATATGCTCTCATTGACAACTGCGGAACAATTAGTCCATGCGTTCATGACCTCAAGGCTAGATTACTGTAATGCTCTACTGGGTGGTTGCCCTGCACGCTTAATAAACAAACTACAGCTAGTTCAAAACGCCGCAGCTCGAGTTCTTACCAGAACCAGGAAATATGACCATATTAGCCCGGTTCTGTCAACACTGCATTGGCTGCCTATTAAACATCGTATACATTTTAAAATATTGTTGATTACTTACAAAGCACTAAATGGTTTAGCTCTGCAGTACTTGAGCAAGCTCTTAACGCATTATAGTCCTTCACGCCTATTGCGATCTCGAAATTCCGGCCAGTTGATAATACCTAGAATATCAAAATCGACTGCAGGCGGTAGATCCTTGTCCTATTTAAGTCAAGTCAAGTCATCTTCATTTATATAGCGCTTTTAACAATGAATTGTTTCAAAGCAGCTTTACAGAGATAAACATATAATTTAAGGTAACAGATTGTTTTGGCGTTATAGCGGTTCTTGAATAATGTTACTTCCAGCTAAAGTTAACTTTGATTGATTCACCTCCGTCGAAATGATCAGACTTTAAACGCGAACCTGTGATTAACGCTGACGGCGTTCACATGCTCATTCAGAATTCTATAGTTATGTGCTTTTTAAAATATGTGCGCAGGTTTGTAATTCATACAACCCAGCCTAAACAAACTACTTTTCTTGCCTATAAATTTTGATACAGAATTTTGTTTTATTTTATCACTTCGGGGTACGCGAGCCGGAATTCACAGCGCTTTATCTGTAGAGTGGGAAAGGGATCCTCCATAGGGAGAGGATAGTGGATACTTCAGCACTGCATTGTCATCGGGTCCAGGCGAATCTCCTTCGTCAGATCTGGACACGGCCTGGATCCGGCAGGCTGCGGGAAAACCTCGGGATAAACAAAGACACTAATATTAGCGTAGATGCCATTCTTCTTATGATGTAGCGAGTACATCAAGATTTAAGGGAAGTGTTCCCAGTTCCCGCTGACCTAATCTATGCAGCCTAACATTGAATTTATAGAAGTCTATAATGTATTGTGTGTATGCTAGGTCAAAGAGATGTGTTTTTAGTCTAGCTTTGAACTGACAGAGTGTGTCTGCTTCCCGGACAATGGTAGGAAGACTGTTCCAAAGTTTTGGTGCTAAATAGGAAAAGGATCTCCCGCCAGCAGTCGATTTAGATATTCTAGGTATTATCAACTGGCCGGAATTTTGAGATCGCAATAGACGTGAAGGACTATAATGCGTTAAGAGCTCGCTCAAGTACTGCGGAGCTAAACCATTTAGTGCTTTGTAGGTAATCAACAATATTTTAAAATTTATACGATGTTTAATAGGGAGCCAATGCAGTGTTGACAGAACCGGGCTAATATGGTCATATTTCCTGGTTCTGGTAAGAACTCGAGCTGCGGCGTTTTGAACTAGCTGTAGTTTGTTTATTAAGCGTGCAGGGCAACCACCCAGTAGAGCATTACAATAATCTAGCCTTGAGGTCATGAACGCATGGACTAATTGTTCCGCATTTCCCAATGAGAGCATATGGCGTAATTTAGATATATTTTTAAGATGGAAAAATGCAGTTTTACAGATACTAGACACGTGGCTTTCAAAAGAAAGGTTGGTATCAAATAGCACACCCAGGTTCCTAACCGACGACGAAGACTTGACAGAGCAGCCATTAAGTGTTAGACAGTATTCTGGGTTATTACGTGTGGAAGTTTTTTGTCCAATAATTAGAATCTCTGTCTTTTCAGAATTTAGTAGTAGGAAATTACTAGTCATCCAATTTTTTATATCAGCTATGCATTCCGTTAATTTTGTGAATTGGTAAGTTTCGTTGGGTTTTGAAGAAATATACAGCTGAGTATCATCGGCATAACAGTGAAAGCTAACTCCATGTTTCCTAATGATATCTCCTAATGG